CGTTAATACAGAGTCAACTTGTTCAGAAAAATCATGGAGGATAAAAAAAGGAAATAGGAACAGCAGATCGTGCGGTTCGCGATTTATAGGACGATAAGTCGTATCTGCAAATATCAGCGATGTACGATCAGCCGGGCTTATCGATCATTAAGCGTATTGATGCTGCGTTAATCGGCGTGCGTTTAATATACGATGAAAAATAGCCGCGTAAATTACTCATCCTCGCACCCCGCAGGAGTGAACATGCGACACTATACTAGTCCTCTCGTATAAACGGGTCTCTACGGTGCTCGATACAACGCGGCTTACCTCACGAATGTCGCCTGGCTACTATTTACGATCGCAAGAAGTATAAAGCCACGCGGATCGTTACACGCTCCTTTCGCGAACGACGCGACTGTTTCTTCACACTTTTGCTAGTTGACGTTTCTAACGCGTCTCTCTCTCTATCTCTCTGCTTTGTGTTTGTTCCACAAAGCTAAGATTAGAGAATAAATTAATCAAAAATTTGTATATTATCTGCATTATAACATAAAGTACAATTTCTTTAATCAATAACACGCGGTAATAAAATTGAAATATTAAAATAATTCAGTTTTTCTTTTTCATTTCAATTCAGAGTATTAATTTTAATATCAAAGAGTTAAAATTTCTCAAAGGAATGTGATAAAATCTAAGAGAGAATTCATGTGTTAATTATAGATAATATTTTTCATTCAAATATTACCTTGAAATTTTATGCAGTTGTTTACAAAAACTACATAATTACATTCTGAAGCAATTTTGTGCGACGGTTGACAGAAAAAGATTTTATCATAAAATCTGCTGTTATATATGATCATTTTGAAACTATATGTAGCATTTGCATCAATGTTTCAATATTATCCCATATTCTCAAGTAAGCTTGTCAAGAGATAAAAAAGGCTCAAGGCTCCCTTGAAAAACTAGATCAAATATGTTAAGATATACTCTCATTTATTTTTTATTAAATCTTCTTAACACTTTTATATTTCAAGAAAAAAATATTAAATAAAAATCTACTTCTTTGATAAAATACTCCCTTCTAAACAATCATTTAAAAAAATGTTTAATATAATTTATAAAAAATAGACTCAATAAAGTCTAGTGTCTATTTCTCTTTCTCCTTCTTGAAATAAATCTTAATTAATCAACTTCTATTCTACTCTGTATACCGTTAATGAGCATTGACAGCTAAACATTAAAATAAATTAGCACATTTGTTCGCACTGAGAAGAGTCGAGACACATTGCGGGTAAAAATAATGGGACGACTCGGCTGCTAATTACCGATAGCAACGTATTAGCATAAAATTCCCGTAAAATTTGTGAGCAGTGACAAAGGAAAACGAGGGAGACTTACGAATTTTTTCACCCCTTACCGACACACTTGTTCGGCATTATCATCGTGATATTTCGTTGTGCCGTCACGCCTCGCGCCATTCCTCTTTGAGCTCTAAATAACGTCCGATGGAGTCCTTAAACATGGGATGCGCCGCCGCGCATAATATCCGTTATTTACAAGCCAATAAAATCGCGCCTCTCGAAACTTGAACGCATAAATAAGAAAGAAAAGGGAGAAAAAAAGAGAGTGTGAGGATCCTTTCATCACGATCTGCAATTCTCGACAATAATCAAGAAATTTTAGCGCACATTAAAATTAAAAAGAATTTCTATTATCTTCTTTCTAAATCTATTTATTTTTATAATTAAAAGAATAATATAATCTACATATAAGTCTCCTAGTAATATTTACGGTATATTGAAGTTCTTCTGTAAAATTTAACAGGCTGTATAAACATAGTTATAATGTTATGCAGAAACCCAGTCGTCCGTGCGCTAATTTCATTAAACGCTACCGCGTTATTAAATCGATAGTGTATCCGATGAAAAAATGTAATTTGCGCATAAACAGGTCTGTACATCTCTTTTCCCTTTCTATTTTTAACTTTAATGAATATTCATGAGATCAAAAGCCGCATTTTTCATTTTGCTCTTCGTGCTCTTTTAAATTAATGTTAAATTGCATGTTTCGTATATTGGAAATAAAGATAATTAATACTATGAAATGATATTCGAAAGGGATGAGATTGATAATCAAAGAGATGAGATTAATTATCAATGATATCAATTAATATATCATTGAACAGATATCTTTGGAAATACGTTAATAAAAGAGAAATATTGTTGTTTTTTTATCTCATTCTCTACTATGAAATATTATTAGAAAGTAATTGTTAATTTTTTATACAGAAATACAAAATTGTAATATAGAATTTAACTATATTTACTAGTTCTTGATTAATTTAAGCGCAAAAATATTGTGAGTTAACTGTAAATCTATTAGGCTTGGGATAGAAAATAAGGCAGGAAACACTGGGATCTTGTCACAAAATCTGTTTCTCGCGGTCTCAACTATCGATAAATGAAAAGCGTTGCCTGTTACGCGGCCAAAGTAGGTGTCAAGGGAGACGATAATGGTACATTAGACGGTAATTAAAAGTGAGCCTATTACTCTGGTTAACGGAGCGTGAAATGCTTTAAATCGTTTGCAAATTACAGTGTCTGTGAGCGCCAAAACGTCTACCGTTACATACGAGAAAATCACGCATACAATTCGAGTAACAACTCAATATTTTATCGCAAAATAGAGACATCTTTTTGAAATAAATAAAAAAACTTTAAATATCTTTTCCAGTCGAAAAACTTTACTTTAATCTTTTAGCTTGTAATTCGATTCTAGTCTATTCATAGACTGGATTTTAATAGAACTACAAAACAAAATTTCAATTATCAAAATTATCGATTAATAATCTAAAATCAAACAATTTACGCGTAAAAATGGTGGAATTTATTTATAATTTCGTTCAAAATAATAACAATCTAAAATAATAATTTGCGAAATATGATATTAATTAATATGTTATATGTATATGATATGCAAACTGAAAATTTGCAACAAAACTGTTGCATATAAAATTGCTGCATACAAACTCTGCTACGATAAGTAATGATGTTTTATTAATTTCTGCTAATTAATAATTAATTTCTATTTATTGTAAAATAATTTATATATAACTTGCATTAGATTCTATATGTTTGTTCATAGAAGATCTGCATGAAACATGTAAACATCGTCTATAAAAAGGGCATTTTGAATTACTACAGTAAAGTTCGATATTTTACGATAGAAAAAGTCCTCGCGGAGTTCAAGCGATTTGAAAAGCTCTTGTGAACTTAACTCGCACGAGCCAGTGGACCTGTCGCCACTTGTTGAATGTTTATGAAGAAGAACAGAAGTTGAAAGTACCCTCGAATCGTTTCGACCAATCGCAAATTTCGAGTAGAGATTAAACGTTTGCTTTATCGTATATCTCGAGAACCCTCTAATTAAACTATCAATAATGCGGATGATAAAAGATTGCGAAGCCCAAGCAACAACATAATTACGTTAATAATATCCTTTATTAATATCACTAATAAAAATGTTTCAGAAACTATTACACTAATTATTCATATAAACAATTTATAATAAAAAATTCAGAAAATATGAAAATTATTCAAGACACTGTTTACAGATTGCGAAATACATAAAAATTCAATTGAATTCGTCGTTTATAAATTAAAAGCTTCAACTTCTGTCAACTTCAAAAACTTCGTGAGGCACTTTATTAGTTCTCCAAGCGGAAAATGACATTCTGTATTTCACCTTTGAACTCAAAGATGTCGGCCTGAAGACTCACCTTTCAAGATGCCCGCGAAGAAAAGGAGGAAGAGCAGCGTGCATAATTGGCGGTGGCCCCTTCGTGCCATATTGTCCCACGGCGAAACACACAAGAAACAATGCACAAAAGTCAATTACAGATGCGCGCGAACACGAGGATGTACGAGAATCCCATCGTGGCACACATAACTCGGTGAACAGAGTCCGGATATTCGTATGCGTGAATGTAGCTTCAAGCGCGTGAATTCGTCCACCGACGCGTCACTCACAAATTTCAAAATGGAACATACGCGCGCGCCGCCGTCCGGCGAATCGAGCCGCGACGTTTCGTCAGCATTCGCGCGCGCGTTTTTCTTACGAGAGCGGAAAAATAGCTCTCACCGTTTTGTCAGATCCCTTTAACAATTCTCCTGTCCCTTGTCACAATCGAAGGATGATGCTTCAGTCCGTAGATCAGTCCGTATGTCGAACGACAAGATGTCACTGCCCGCACTAAGATCACGTGTTTCTTTCCGCGAAAAAGAATTGTTCCTTCTTGATTATTACAACATCGTCCTACGACAGAATCTTTGCGCGAGATGATAATTATTCACAAAAAGCGTCACACAACACGCGTTGTTACGCTGACAGTTCCTCTGTCATCGACTATCAGAGACGCGCAATAGACGCGACAGTAATCCGCGCACGGAGTTTCCAACAAATGTCTAATGATGTTCGCGTTGACTGTTCGGATTGTGACTTATTTGTTCGAGATCAACTGGATGATCCGCTCGATTCCGTTTCATCCGAAAGCCGGTGTCTCGCGACGCGTACGCGTGTCAACTCATCCGCTGTCCCACACACACATGAAGACGCAACGAATTGGTCGAGGTGTCGCGCGACACTGCCGGCCGGCCGTTAACTTCGCACGGCTCGGCGTCGCTCGGGAGACGCGCACGCGCGACAAGATGGCGCGCGGTGGTGGGGATGGGGGACACGTATAAAATCGCCGCGCGACTCTGTTTTTCTCACTTTCGCGCCGCTTGGTGTCCGCGTTATATGCTTTTGTCTCATTTTCAACAAGTTGTAGACCGCGTGCGTGACAGTGAGGGAGAGGAGTTGCGAACGCGAAGAAACATCAGGAGTGTGCTTTCGGCGCGATCGGCTGTAATGAAATTAGATTAATGGCCCGACGCGGTATGGGGTAAAACAATCTTCACGTTTCTTCCCGCTATGCCGCACGTACGCGATTGTATGGGATTAAAAAGTTCTGTTGTGTGTCTATTAAATTTTTCTTTTTATTGATAGAAATATCCTAAGGTTAAAATAAATGGTACATCTTAAAATACAATCCTTCCACATATCATATTCCCATGCGACATCTCGAAATCAAATATTTATTGTCCAATTATTATCTTAGCTTGGCTGGGCTGTCGGAATAGGTAGTCGATCCTTCGGAACTATAGCAAACGCTATGCTGTAGATAAAATTTATAATTATATAAGAACATGGACATATCCAGGATTTTTTTTGGTTTATCAATTTTGTTAACACATAAACTTTTTTTGTGTTAATAAATTGCTTTTTTGAATATTGACTTGGACTATCTCATTTCTGATTTTAAATGAGGAAAATATTAAGTTTTGTAAATCATAACTTTATTTTTAATTTTAACTTTTTTTTATTCGAAGATTGGACCCCCCCTCACCGCCCCCCTCATCCTATACCTATGCATAAGAATCACATAAATTATGTAAATATAGAGATATAGATCGCTATTTATCATAAAATTTTAAAATCAATTTCTGAAAGTCTAAAAAGCGATTAAATCTATAAAATAGTATCAAAAGTACATTTGTTAATATTAATTGCATATTACTAAGAAACAGTCAAGTTCATTTACTTTGAAAGCCGTACGACCCCTGGATGTTCCCAATTGCGGGGCGGAGGTAGATTTGGTTTGTTTCTTTCGCCTACTAATACAAAAATATTCTGATGTGAAATGGTAATCGGAATAAAATAACTAAAATAAATAAAATATGTTATAACTAATGCACATAATGATTTATATAATTACAGAACTACTTGATCTAATGAAAAAAGATTGTTATGTGAATAATGCAGAATACATATCATTACATACGAATAAATCCTGCTGCTATCACTGACAGTGCTTTTGCTGCTGTAACTGATCGCGGCTAAGCAACGTTCCTCGTCCGCATGGTCCTGGCATCCCCCTGGGCATTTTCCAAACCTATCTTTCCACCATTCCTTCAATTTTTCAATCATACCCTTACGACATGTTTTCGAGGAGCATATATCCTGCTGACAATAATCCGCGTTTTCATATAGAACCGCAAATCTGGAAAAAAAATGGATTGAATATCACTGCATTTTTCGAATATTCATTAGTTTTTTAAATAATACACAATTCAGCAGCGTTACAAAAAAACTTCAGATCTAAATAAAACTTTTAAATATTTTACATAAGATATTTAAAATTCAAATTGTATAAAGCATAACAGAGAAAAAAAAATATATTGAGCATAAAAAAGTGAAGTCTCAACTCACGGAGGTGTCTTTGACTCGCAGGGTGTGCAGCCCTCGGGAGATTTAGTGAGGAATCTATAGCACACTAAACTCAAACCCACCAATAACCATAACACCAATACAGCTACCAGTGCTATAATCACTAGCTCGGTGGCGCTAAGTGTCATTGTACTGTTACCTGAATTTAATTGAATTTAATTATTTTATAATTTAAGAATTCAATTATTAAACAGTTAGAAACTAGGACTATTAAATTGAAGATACAGATGCGAAGGCGAAAAAAATAGCGTTGTCTCACGACGGTACAACCTACTTTCTCCCTTGCTTTTATAAAGTGGCGGCGCATTCTCATTTGTCTGACTCGCACGTTCCGTATCTACTTTATAAGGCATAACTTCGTAAGTGCCACTTGCTTGCTTGCTCTTCATAATATTACCACCAATATCTAAAACATCAAGCCGTAACAAATATACTATAAAAAAATGGAATATCATCATTTACATATGCATTTTCCAAAAAATAGAAAAATTATATACGACATGAAATTATAATAAGAATTACAATTTTTAAATCAACATCATTCTGTTAACAAATTAATTTTTCCTCTACTCTGAAATTTTAAGTGCAGAGTCTAGAAAACTGTTTATTAACATTCTTCAACGTGATTTGAAAATTGTAAAAGGAAACACACTTTCCGAGTAGCTCTATGCGCGATATGAAAATTATGCGAAGCGAAATGCATGAGGTCATTTTGATCCTCGACATATATCAAGGGATTAATGGACATGCGTTTATATTTTATTAACTCTTGAAAGCACACGATGAAATTGCGCACAAATTTGCGATCACGGTACTCAGAGAAATGTTGCTAGAAACTGTAGTTTCTTAGCTATGCGAATACGGTTTAAACGGAATATCATATCGGTCTCGTTAATTTTCAAATGCGGCGAATTGCAAGCAACGAAAGACCATCATGAAATATTACTCGATTCTCGCAGGGTAGCCAGTACTCGGAGAACACCACCAAAGGCCGGATACCACTTCTCGTCGTCCAAGTGTCCACGCACCTGAAATGCGTTTTTTATTTATTTTCCGTTTAAAATTAATCTAGGACAACCGCGACACGCGTTGACAAGTAGAAAATTGAAGAAAGAGAAATGAAGTGTAAATTTTCGTCATGCTTTAGTATCTTTTTACGAGTCGTTTCGTGTTCGTTTCATCGATTTGCTCACAACGTACAGATTGTTGCAACCAGGTGTAAAAGTCTTTATTGAACCTTCGCAGCCGCGTTTTCGCATTGGGTCGTGAGGCAATGCATTTCACGCTGGCGATGTAGTACTTCACGAGCGCGAAAGCCGATTTTTCCGAATACAATGATTGCAGGCTGTCGGTTTTGAAGGGCAGCGCGATGCTAGATAGAGAGAATAATGTATTAAGATTGTTTGATCATCGCGGTATTCTTATAAATTGCCATTCGATAACTACCTGTTAGGTTCTACTTCATTATCGAGGAATGGGAGGGGTATTACAACTTCGCTCGTAGCTTCGTTGTTGTAGCCTTGACCAAGTAAAAAGTATAATAATAATTGATGCTTGTATGTGTGATGTTTGAAATAAAAAATAAACGATGTAAAAGTTTTCAGGTTTTTGTTGTAAACAATATTTCTCAAATTTCATAAACAATTTTTTTTTACAAAATAGATAATTGTATTATTTTAATTTTAATAACGTGAATATATGAAATTTTATACAAAAACAATTCCTTTTTACATTTTCTTCCATGATAATGACTGTACTATTTTTATTTTTTATTTATATACCACGTAAAATGGTATACAAGTTTAAAATTAAACGACGCTCATCCCTTAGTTCTCACCATCGACCGCACGTCTCGAATGTCCCCGCTTCATCGTAGACTGTCTCTTTTTTCTAAATGTAAAGCTTCGGTAGTTATCACGTTCAAAAGCTGTTTTCATTTATGGAACAAATTATATATACAATAAATTATTGAATTGATTCTTCATTATTCCAGTCAAGATAAATTCGATATATTTTATAATTAGATTCGCAAATAGATAGATTTTTATTCAGAAATATTATTACTTCTATAAAATACCATTTGCTTGTTCATCGCTCAGAAAATTAAGTATTAAGTAATGTAAAATATTTAATACGCATTTTATTTTACAAAATTTCTTCAGATCAAAGGATGATCACTTACGCTTCGGATACGTGATAAATCCATTACAGGCGACTGATGTTTTCGGTGGTGTAATTACAATGGGAGGGATCCTGATATTTGCGAAGTCCCGGCTGGGTTTTGACCAGCCAGCACCGTTGGTCCGAAGAAAAACTTTCAGCTCGTCGAAGAGTTCAAACAACATCTTCGCGTTACGATACTTGATGTTACCCGCGTAATATGAGTGCTTTGTGAGGGGCAGAATGTAGACCTGCAAGTAACCGCCCAGAGTATCCGCCAAAGCTTTCAACATCAAATGCTTCGTTTTGCCCACGGTCAATCTCCGCACGCTCTCGAGGCATATGTGAAAATAGTCCATGAGGTGCGCTATGTACTGATCGTTCTGGGGATCGATGACATTCACCTAGAAGAGGAGAAAATCTTAGAAAGCTTCCTGTGCACTTCTTTATGCAGAACAAACTGTCTTCATTACAGAGAATTACTTTTGAGCAATTTTATTGGAAACTATTTAAAAATATCGATCTCTTTTGTTATAAATTTATTAATAAATGAATAAAAAGATATATTCCCTGGGAATTGATTTTTTTTTAATTTTTTTATGATGATAAAACACCGCGTTTTAAATTTTGTAACACAATTTGTGTCGATGAAGCTCTTGGAAGTTAATACTTTCATAGGTCTTACGTGCGGCAGAATATCCTGAAACATCCTCCGGCTAGTAAGAATAGTAAATTCCTCGTTTGTCCAGCATTGCTTTCCATAATCATTTCTTTCAAATAAAACGGTACCGGTATTCTGACCATATTTAAGAGTCTTAGCCTCAATTATCCTATCAAATTATACGAGATGATAATAAAACTTCAATCCGCAAGCAATAAAGTGATTACGTTTGATATAAATTTTAATTTAAGCAGAAAGGTCTGCTTGTTCAATTGTCAATAATTATAATATTGCAAGAAATTAAATAAGTGTAAATATTTAACCATTAAATGACATATCTTTTTCAAATACAACAAACCTTTTATCAAAGATACTGTCTACAACTATTAAAAAAACCCATAAGGGACATATGTTCATACTCTGAGAAAGGAATTTCAAATGATCAATCACGCGGATTTTTTTCGCGAGTTTTTTTGAGTATTTCTGACAAGCCTATAACGGCTTGCGTCCATTATTCCACTATACTATCGTATTTTTATCACGCGCACTATTTCAAGTTAATAAAACAATAACTTCAGATATAACTAATTTTATAAAAATATAATATAAATAGTATATACATATTATAAATTAAAAAAAATATATTGTAAACACAACTCGAAAAAAATTTTACACAATAATGGAAATAAAATATGAGAGAACGTGGGATAGAATAATAAGATATAGTTGTAGTGTCAAATATATTTGTTCAATCACACACATAAGTAATCTATAATTATAACGCATAATATTGTACAATGTATCAATTTACATGTATTGTAAAATTATTATATCAAAGTTTGATAATCAATTTGATAATCAAGTTGTAAGCGCGACAGTAATAATCAAGAGTCAAAAACAATATTTTCTTTTTACTATATTGCTACATATAATGTAAAATAAAAGAAAAAGATACAGATATTTATTTTTTATTTTTACTGTGTCAGATATATATTAAACATCTAATATACATAAGAGATATAGTAAATATTGTAAAATAAGAGATATTATCAATGATTATAACATCATTTTCACTCAAATTATCGTAACCATGTAATAAAATTGTACAAAATTACGTATTCGGTGCTTTCATTTTACACAAAAATCGTAATTGCAGGAATTTAATTTCGTCCGTATTGAGTTTTACCACTCCCTCTTGATTATCGATCGAAAGTAAAGTGCCGACGGCTTCGCGATCTTCACCTAGAATCACTTTGACTCGATCGCCACGTGACGGTACCACAGGCTCCAATTGTTCACATACGAGATTTACAACTCGATCTTCGGTAGGTAGATAAATGGTGCACATGCCGCCCTGTTACACAATAATTTATTAATCTTATAAAATCAATGAAATAAAAAAAATATATATGTGCCAATACTGAATAATTATCTTATTCCAAGATTGACATAGAAGAAACTACTAATAGATAATCACTTACTAATAGATAATTTATTCTTCAGCATTTATTCTTCAACATTGTCCCCGTGAATAAATAAAATCACTTACAGAAATTCCTCGGATAACAGCTTGTTGTCCAGCGAGCGCAGGATCGTCGTGAGAGTCGCGAATACGTACTTCAATATCTGTTGTATGCCATTCTGAGCTACCTATGATACCAGAACCAACTGCATCCAATCCTGAACCTGGTGTTTGCGGATTATATGGACTACCTGGTACCCCTGCAAGAATTACAAATTATAAAGCTTGCTGCAATCAACTTGTTCTTGTTTTTTAATTCTATAATTATATTTAAAAAATAATAGAATAACTAAAATTAATAGTCATAGATCTTTATTTATAATTAGTACTTAAAAATAAGGCAAGAAAAATAATTTATCAAAAAAATAATGCAGTTGAATTATGAAACTACAGAAACATTAAAATAGATGCTATAATACAAATAATAATTTTTCATCTAATTATCACTTTGCCATTATCACTACTTACCAGGTGTCATAGGACTGTAACCCATCGGAGAAGGAGTCGCAAATGCTCCGTGAGGACTAGTAGTATAACCAGTACCACTAGGAGATGGAGTAGCAACGTAGCCTGCAGGACTCGGACTTGCAGTAGCACTGCCCCCAGGACTAGGACTCGGTTGATACGAACTGAAACTTTGTTCTGAACCATACATAGTACCCGGTGTTTGTGGAGTAAACGGACCTCCAGTAGGAGGATATCCAGGTCCATAACCGGGCGAGCCACCTTCCTCCATGCTATAGCCATCAAAATCGTTTGTTCTTGCAGGAGTATTAGTAACTGATGGATCCCAGGCTCCAGATTGCCCTGGTGTACGCGAACCATCGTGAGACGGCGTCATTGAACCGTAATGAGGAGTGCGAGAGCCATCTATAATATCGGAATTAAAAACGATTATGTTTTCCATATCGTCTTACATAACAGAATATGCATATATAAATATACTCACTTTCGTACATAGGTGTTTGAGAACCGTGCATTGGTGTTTTTGATCCGTCTCTCGCATACATCGGCGTCTGTCCACCGGCTCCATAAGCTGGAGTTCTGTTGTAACTGCTGAAGCCACCGTCTTTTGTCGGGACGCCGACGTTTGCTATATGAGATCGATCGACGGAGATCGTCTGACACGTGGAATGCAGTTCTACACGGGCTGTTGTCTCTGTCGCATCTTTTACAATACCTACATTTCCCTTGTATGGTCCACCTGTTATCTTAATGGTGGTTCCAATTAATTCCCTATCACGTCTCGCACCACCGCCACCGCCACGACCTCTGCCTCTTCCACCGCCACCACCGCCTCGTCCAAAACCACCTCTGTAAGATTAATTCATAGTTTATATGAAATAAAACTCCAAGATATATCTCTCAGTAAAATAGAGAATAAGAACGAGAGACCAACCCGCTGGGATGCATTGGAGAGGCAATTCTAGGTGACATAAAACCTGTCACTGGTGACATGGAATTGATAGACGTTGTTTTATTTCCACCGGACAGCTGTAAATGCCTAGTTTTGCATACGAATATTCCACCGTTGTCGACGAACATTCTCGAGTGTAGAAAAGCAAAACTTCTATACAGATGTTTAATTTCACCGCCTCGACCTGCGTGTGGCCCATCAACCACTTTAACGATGTCTTTCTTCTGTATGGTGTTCTGTTGCGAGTCTAAAGCGACCGCGTTTCTATTTTCTCGGCGCTTCGTAAGACCTTGCGGTCTCGCCTCCACTACTTTTCCGTGCATAGAGAGTACGTGAAAATTCTCACGTTCCAATCGGACGATAACACCGACTGTTTGCGCATCAAGCTGCACCAAATCACCCCATTGGAATTGTCCTAAGCTATCCACGCCGGTAGCCATGTCAGAACACAATTGTAGATCCCTCGGGAGAACCTCAAGTTCGTGCATTGACAAATCTGAGAATAAAACTACTCTATTTTGCTCTACTCTAACAATTAAACCTGTATCGCCTTCATATCTTCCGGCTACAACCTGCAAATTTTAAATAAAATAATGCAATTAGAATATCATAAACAATATTCCTTTCTAAAACACGCAATTAATATTAGAAATTTTACTTTGACGTGATCTCCTTGTGTGAAATATTTTCTCAACTCTGAAGCTTGAAATTCCAAAGCTTCTTTAAGTTCTTCATGTTTTGGCATAACCATGATCATGTTTCCATCTATAGAAACAATCTTTCCTTGTAGATTTATCAATTCACCCTCACAAACTTCTACGTTATCTCCGTTACTAAAGGAATGCGCTACAGCTTGATCTTCTTTCCCAGAAGTTCCAGTTCCTGGTGTACCACTTAAATCTATTTCTACACCTTCTGGCGCTTCCTCAAATCTCTCTAATTCGGAGAGTGTAGGTTTAACACCTTCCGCGATAATAGCACTTGTGGTGAAATTTTTATAAAGAAAACTGCATAAAATAAGACATAATTATAATTAAAATTTAACGTATGTATCAGAGTATACAATAACAAAATGTAATACAAACCCTTTACGGCTATATCTATTTCCTTCGAAAATAAGGAAATCTCCATCGCTGGTAACTTCTCCGCCAATAGCACGAATTGCTTCAGGATCAAATGGTTTTGCTGGTGGTCGTCTTTTCTTCTTGCGTTTCAATGCTTCAGATTCGCTTTGTGCTGTTCTCAATGCTCCGCGTGGTCTAGTGTAATCAATTCTTGGAAGTAACTTCAAGTGAACTTGATTCTGTGCTAAGTCGACATAATCAACTTGAGCTATATCATCTTTATAAATGCCTCGTTTTAAACGGACCCATTGTTTAGCTTTTAAGCCGGTCTGCTCTTTAACTACTCGCAGGACATCCGTCATTTCTTTAATCGGTACCATTTGTTGTTTCCAAATACCCATCCTAAGATTCCCAACGTTTTCGATAGCAGCTTTTACATGCGGTTGCTTGTAAGCTTCTATGTAAATATATCCTTTAACACCTTCTGGTGCCACAACAGATTTTATCTGAAGAGGTTCACCTAAAATTTGTAAAACACAGAAATATATTAAAAATATATTGAAAATATTCAAAATATACTGTAAAACATAATAAAATATAAGTGAATGTTTATAAAAATTTATATCTTACTTGAAAATTGATACGTGATAAATTTTCGCATCAATAAGAGTACAGTAGCTTTTTCTTCTCCTATACGACATTTTACCATCCATAAATTGGGATCTTTCACGCCAGGCAACAAGGTTTGCTGAGTAATTTCGTCACTCATCTCTTCACCGCCATCGCCAAAATGACGAGCAGCGAGCGATTCGTCGGCATATTTTTTCCGGAGATATTCCTCAATTTCATCTTCTTTCTGTGAACTAGAAAATTCGTTTATTAAATACTCGATTACTTTATTATGGTTATTATAAAATAACCATTAAATATATAAAATTTTAATACTTACTCCCAAAGATTTGTACCTCTCCTTCGTCCTTCAATGTCACGCGCTGTTGGTCCTACTTCGTCAACCTCATTTCCTACAATACCAATTTCTTGAGCACCTTCTTCCCATTCTTCGTCATCCTCAACTTCATCATCTACTTCAGCTTCGTCTATAATAAAGCCACCAAATCTATCTTTCTTCTTCTTCTTTCTCGGTCTGTCATCATCCTCTTCATCTTCTTCCTCATCATATTCACTGCTATTCAAGTCTTCCCCTGAAATCATAAAATATATAACAAAAAATTATAAAACAATTTAGAAAAAACAGATTATAGAAATATTGCTTAAATTCTATTTGACTGCCTAACTAAAAATTTTTTTGATTTATTATACCTTCAGGTTCTTCTTCTGGTTCCACGGCTTCTTCATCTCCTGATCTGACTTCCTCTGCCTCATCTGCCTTAGTGTCTCCATCTTCAGAGCTATAAATAAATAAATATATCATTGTGAGATGTGACATGTAACCTGCAT